ATTTTTAGTGCCTATTTTATGCTGACTGGATCTGTGACCGGCAGTCAGAGACTTTATTGGTTTATCTTAGGTTCACTGTTTGGGTCCAGGTGCGCGGAATACTGTCTTTTGAACCCATCACTAGTATATTTTAGTTCTGCTCTACTGAGTCTTTGCCGAATTCGCACTCTGTCAAGTTAACCAAAGCGATACTGTTGCTTGGCTACCGTACAACCATAATTTACTTAAAAGTCTGATTGTGAAGAGGAGAATAAAATCGGATTAGGGAATGACTTCGTGCTAGCCTATCACAGTCATTCCGAAGTGCCCATACTTTCAGACACTCGATATAAACCGAAAAAAATGCCACTGAAATCCATAAGCACCTATGTCCTGCGTCCTCTCAAACTATGTAAATAAGGGTCGCATGCAGCGCATCCTGTAAGGCGATTCGCGTCTACATTACCCAGAGTTTCCGTAACCGCTGTCAGGTCAAAGTTTAACCTTGTGCCACTCTGAATTTGGCACAGAAAGCAGCAGACTTTCCAGCAGGCCGCGATTCAGCATTCGCAATACAGGGCCAAACTTGGTATTGGGCGCATTCTTCTACTGAAGTCCTCTTTACACAGTTGAACACTCGCTTTCTAAAAGTTTGGCTTATGACTCGCTGGCACCGGCCTACACGAACTATGATTCTCTGATGTTTATCAAGGGCCTGAAAACGTCTCATTTCCCCTGATCGTACAGACCAAGTCTCACAGCCACACACAAAAATAGCCATAGTTTGGGTTGGTGTACCTGTTCCTTGAAATTCCGGGATATGTCACATTGTCGCTAAGTATATTTTAAACGAGATCCGAGCCTAACTGTTTTGTGCACTATCCCCATTTGCCTCTCAGCTGATTGTAAGTGACCTGTTCAGTGACTGTAAGTCTAAAAGTATGGTCTTTGAGAGTACAAAGTGCGAACCGAAGTCGGGATGACTGTGGTCGGCTCATCCAAATCATCCGTACTTTCTTTTCCTCTTCCGAGGTAAGGACGATGAAGGCGTATTTCAGACCGGCAGATTTTTTTCAGCAGCTATTTGAACATCAGGGTTTGGCCCTATTATGTCGTCGCTCACGAAATTGAGTGCAGATGGTGAGCTTCCCTGTCAGACACCTCTTTTTATGCGGAAACTTTTGAAGATTTCTCGGTATACTCTCACACACCTGCAAGATTGAGAATCCAAAAAAACCTTCGGAGCATTCCTTACTGGGCCAGTGTGTTATTGAGAACAGATTGGTCAACTGAGTCAAATGCAAATTTGAAATCCAGGAATGCATGACTTTGTTCTAGCACCTCACGGAGTGTCGAGATTCCGTCAACGCAACGCCTACCAGACCGGAATTCCGCTTGTTGCTCCCGAGTCATTCTTTCAAGGGCCATAATAAGGCGACTAAGGGGAAGTGATGCTCATTGTGTCGTTTCGACTGGAATGAAGGTGCTCCCCCCGTAACTTCAGCAATCTATACCAGCCCATTTCTCAAGGCTGGGCATTATTGCTGGTACTCCCCAGCTGTGTGGGGCAGTCTTTATTCCACAAGTGGAGTCAGATTGACCAGACTAGCGCTGACTGAGGAATTCACCTCCGTCTTTGAACAATGCGGGTGGCAGGTCATCCGAACCAGCAGCTCGGTGGATTAAGAGAGAAATATGCAGCCATGAACTTCCGAATCCTTAGGAGTTTTTTAGATCCATCGTCCAGGGTTTTAGCGCAATTCAAAAATCCAACTGAAGAGCAATGGGCTACTATCATATCTGTTGTTTAAAGCGCTAGTTTCGGCGGTCGGAATAGTTTCATCCTTGGCAGTTTTGGCGAGTAGGCTAGTTTACACTCGAAGTTCAATCATTTGCCGGTGGAAAAACTTCTCGGAGATTCAAGCGGTATCAGTGGTCTATCCGACATTCAGTGTTTGGTTGAGGTTAACAATACAGGCAAAACTCCCGTAGTTGTGCAAAGATGTGGCGATTTCATTTTTGTGCGAATTGACATCCAATAGTCGGTCGGTTGGAAGAGAATTCAGAAAGCGGTTGTGACAAATCTGTTTAACTTCAGGATCTACGAGCCTCCGCTTGCAAGCTAATTCTTTCCCCCTTACACTGTTCTAGAAAGTATACAGGGAAGCCTAGTCATAGTACACACAGGTGTTCCAAAATGAGCGCCAGTCGGTTATCGAACCACGCCATCTGTAACTGAATGTGATGTGGTCAATTTTGGTCCGTGACTTTCACGTTGTTGCAGGACACGATGTAGCCAGACGACTCCGGTTATTTCGAAATTTACCACTGCACAAAAAGTTTGCAGCCAATACAAAGCCGTCGTTCACTGTTGTCCATGCTTACCGAGTCCGACCCAAGTGAACCACCCAGCTGAGTCTCAGACGCGCTAGGTCTGAAAAAATTACTCATTGCAGTCTGCGCCAGTCACATCATCTGAGCTTCTAGCCCGCCGCAACAGGGCACTCAGTGCGTCATAAATCTTCCTTTACTTGTGTCAGTGCTACAGTTGGCTGAGACATAAGCAGGCACGATAAACAACAGCAATCAGCTTCCCACCTGTGAGACTTCTTCACGCTCTTTGAGGTGTTTTACATATTGTGGTATCGCACTGCATAGATTTTTAGGTTCACTGGAACTGTTCCTCCCCCCATTGGGAACATTACATGTTTGGAAGAGATCCTTTGGGAGGTTACTGAAGTAAAAAAAAAACAGCGTCTTCATTCTGCAAGTGTTTGCAATACCTATGTATATAAACAGTTTCGGTGTACATATACTGCATGCTTTGTGGGTTTATGATGTAATTTTGTCACAAAATGCTACACATACCTAAATGTAAATCCCACCAGTCATTATGAAGAGACTGTTGGCATTTCCTGACCGCGAATTTTGATTTGTGTAAATAAGTATTGGATTCATGCAGTGTGCTATCCATGAGTTCTAAAGTGGCCTCTGGTCGTAACTCGAAGAACTGATAATGACCCGTGGAACCACTCGAATTTCTCAAAATCCCACTTTATTATCCATGCGATTCATTCTGGTTCTTTGAGTGTTGGTTTTGTTATCCGATTGTTTGCAATAAAGTAGGCTTACTTAGCCGCCCCGATAGCATCCAAATTAATATGAAATAATTGGTTATTCTCAGTGGTCAGAAGCCACTATGCCTATATATTTTCGTTAAGGACTAGACTGGTGGCCCCTCGTTCAGATGCAGATTGAAGCAGTAAATAGCGGCATCAAAGTGTATGCGATGGGAGGTTAAAACTACTAAGGGTATGATACATTTTCAAACCGATTGTAGTATTATCCGTCACACAGCAGCTCGGTTATCAAATGGGATTTATCATCAGACTAAAAGTCACCATTCGTGTAGTGAATTTGTAAAGGGCCTATAACACAAAGCCTAACGAACGCTTCTACGTAGGTGTCGGTCAGCTCAGACAGAATATCTCTCAGATGACATAGTCTCATTGAAATCCAAAATCCACATATTGGAAAGGTTCACTAATTACTCTATTCTTGTATTTGGGGACGGGTTTACCCTAAGTTACTAAGCATATTGGGATAAAATAAGCCGAATCGACTCGGGCATGACAACACTAGGACTCAAGCCGTTCCCCAGTCAGCCAGAACGATGCGTCCAGAGTCCTCCGAAAATTATACTTGACGCTAAGACCCACGAAGTATTTAAGATTCAGAGTATATGGATCTTTGTTCAAACTTCAGTGGCTGAAAATCAAGGAACGATTGGAAACCTTGTGTGATCAGACCAGACGGATCTACCATAAGATCCAAAATCGAACCTCGTAAGCTGTTACCACCAGGACAGGCATAGTCCTACCTTTAGCAAAGTCCCATCGCACCTCAGCAAACACAAGTGCTTATGACCCTGCGTAAAATAAGTGGCATGATATCGTTTTTCAAATTATCGTCCTTTGCGGATGGTTTTTTTGTCACATGTAACTCAGTCACCGACACCCAACGTAACGTGCGACAATTTACCTCAGCATATTTGCCGCTCAGACTCTTGTAAGTAGCAGGGAAGGAAGTAGAATAAGTAAGACAGATTCATCAGCTTGTGCACCGTAAAACTTATGGCCTACATAATCTACTAACTCATCTAGTCTTATGGACTTAATGTACAGACATAATTTGATTAGAGGCTTAGCTTGTTGAGCCTACAAGCTTTGCTCGGACTTTGATTGCAAATGACTACCCAGAAAGACTCATACGCAGGCGCTTTTACATGCCCACAACTCCCAGGTTGTCAGGTGTCCCGGATTTACCTAAGAAACCCTTATTCAAAAAAGCCAGAAGCGACTTTGTCTCTTGGACAATCGCACGAAGGTTGTCAAAATTAATACGAAGTAATTTTATGGCAGCACCATTAACTGTCCATATCTGTCGTAGCTTGCTACTCACCATAAATTCGAAGTACAAACTACTGGCTGCTTTATCCATTTATTCATTTTACACTGCAAGCCACTTGGTTCATACCGAAACAAACCACCCAGTATGCTAAAGCCAGTTGCATTGGACGATAAATAATATCTCCATAGATTTTTCGTTTGAGCTTAAATGTATGTAACAGTTCCAAAATAGAAGTTATAAATTTGAAACTGAGATAGATGGTACTAATTCTGCCCTCTACGACGCCTTCAAACTTGCCCCCAATTCTACTTCTGCCAGTTTCTCGTTACGGTACATTGAAATTGTCCGCAATTTTTTGGTGGAAACAGTTAACTGTTTTCACCCTCAGAGTCACCATCCGTGGTTGAAATAATTAAGGGACGTTAACCATATTTCATTTGAATTCATTGGAATGTGTTGAACCACGGAGCCTAACCTCTATTAGTCTAGCACAAAGGCCGTCTTCGGTAACTGCAACAATGGGTTACTGGGAAGAAAAAAGAAACTAACTTGATTTCATTTTTCAGATTATTGTTTTCGAAAGTCTAGTCTTAAAATCTTTAGATTTTGAGCTAAGATTTGTGATAGTAAACCGGTACCCACGTGCACTTGTGCTGAACAACCTTTGAGCTATCAACGTGTCGGCAAGTGTACTCAGGTGATCCGTGTAGAACAACAGGGTGTGGCCCTATTTCTATTCTTTTCACAGAATTGATGAATAACTGAGTACTGCATGAGTGATCACAAACAAGTCCTGATCAAACATCCAACTTCCGATGTGCACTTTTTCCGTGAAAGTGGCTGAGTACTACAACCTAATTTATGGATGCATTTCTACCACACGTGATTACAATAAAGTACTCTTCGCTGAAGTACAGAGATTAGTTTTAGGTTGACCGACGGTAATGTAGTAGCTGAACCCTGTAGAAATGTTTCTGTGCACAGAAGATGTATTAGGCAAGCGTCCTTCATTCTCAATCCCCCTTGTTACAACGCGAACGGATGAGCCGCTAGGAAGAGTATGGATTAGACTCAGAATTAACACTTTTAAGGTCATTACCCAGATGAACTACACCAAATGATAAAGGTCTTGGGTGTTTAATCAGTCTCGAATCAACCCATATCTTCAACTGTCCTACGACGTTTATTCCGGGCAAACAAGTATAATCTAACCAACTTTTCAGATGGAAAACTTTATTCCGAATACATCCACTATGCTCAGAGAATGTGTGAGTATCCCTACATCTGATCATAGATTTCCTTAAATCCGCCTGAATGACCGTCACATTGGTCGGTGACGGTGATGAACTATGGATAAAAGTCCATCATACACATCAACAGGTTACTCGTTTTAAACTGAACAACTGGGATTGTGGTATGAGTTGTTACTGAGTCTGTTTGATCGTCCTCATTACTACAGCCATCATTACTATTCTATTGGGTTAGCGGACGTGGTTCTTTAACGACATGCTGCAAAAACTGCTTTCTCGAGACTGTATCTCCCGCACCTTGTAAAATGAAGTGCCTTAATAAAGCGTAATCTACTTTCTTCCCAAGTGTGGACAATCCCGTGACTAGCCGAAATGACTGAGAGAATATACACATTCACTTCAGTGCCCCATTCATTACCATTCACGCAGTGAATACTCGTCTCTATCACTGTAGTTTGTTGTGTTATACTTACAGAAATTTACGTGAGAATAAGCGGAAGACAGCAGAATGTAATTGGGACGTTTTCGCTAAGGTGCACGCATTCTAAAGTCCATAATAGTGCAACTCTGCTCCTTTTTAAGAGTCCATGTTGTTGAGAATTTTCGGTAAGACCAATTGCTTTGTGTCCCAGTCACTAGAACTATCAAAGTCTGAATTTATCGGCTTCCATGAAGCACATTTACAAGTACAAGCCAAATAGTCAGACGCAAAAAAAACACGGTCCACAAAATTATTAATGAAATTAATTTCAGATAAAGGTGGTGTTATGCAAAACGTTATGAGATACTTGTTGCATACCCAAGGTAAATGCGGGCTATATTTTTGAGGCGCCTAAAGGCAAACAGAAGCAAAGGAATAGCCATCTGATCCTCAAACATTGTTGACAAACCGCTAGAAAATCAGGTGCTAAGTCCAGTAAGCATGTCAACAATCAATCACCAGGTACTCCGTAAGGTTCACTGACCATTCAGCTAAAATATTCCGACCATGAATTAAAATCAGCTGATTGTCTAAGTTGGCAGCTGATCGAAGCCGAGGTTAACATCATAGACGGTACAACTCAGAAATAACGCTATCAATCGATGTTTCGCATCTCTTGGCAACACGCAATTCCAGCATTACCAATTGCCACTAAAATTATGGCAAGACTAATTGGAATTGTTTTTTATTGATAACTGGACAGAGTTATGTGGTGGGATAATGCTACCTGCTTGGTCATCATAGGCCGAGTATGGCAAGAACAACACCTAGTCTCTTTCCGAATACACGAAAAACTTCCCTATATTTACTGCGGCATGAATTAGTATTATAGGAAGTATTGCCAGCCTTTCGATGTTGTTCTAAATTGAACTATCCGATCCCTCAAATTTTCCGTTAGTAAATGTCTATATACAACCGTCAAGAAGTTCTTGGCATATTTTCGCCAGTGTACACTCAAAATGTTTATCGTAACCGTGACCAGATCATTCACAGTTTAGATGATTCCTACAAACACAGTCGCAAAGTTGGTGCTTAGACGTTAGGTTTCTATCTTATTGTGGACTGTTTATCCAGAATTATTATGGTTCTCAAGATACATTGCTATTCTGGCGATAAAAGCTCCGCAAAATTTCTCATTTTTGCAGAAATGTGTAGGTAACCAAGGTTCTCTTAAGGAAAACGGACTGTCGAATCAGGAATAATACTGGTGAGCGCTCACCAGCAGAGACTGGGCAAGTTTTCAAACCAGCGGGTTGAGATGAACATTTTGTGTAGTCCAGGAACAGTCTGTTGTCATATTATTCACGAACTTTGTCAGTTCAATCAATAATTCAATCAATCGTTCTCTTATCTATTTATTTATTTTTTACACTTAATTATCTGTTTAGTTGTGCTTTTTATACTGGGATTCACACAAGTGATAACTACCAGTTGAATCAGCTTCTCACCTGAGACCACTGTTCAGTTGAGAAGAAGGTATTAGTCTAGCAGGAAGTCTCTAAAACTTGCCAAGATGATGAAACACACAGCATCCCTCCTACACAACTTTCTTAGCACTACCTCATCCACACAGACTAACGGAAGGTTCAAACGAAGTTCAACAGGAACCATCAGATGAACCGAACCAGAAGAAGTAGACCCTAGGCAGGACCCAAACACCAAAATTTTCGGGAACACCTTCTGTTTCTCTGCCTGTTTTCTGCAGGATTCGAGTCAAGGTATAAAACTAGTAAGTATTGGGTAAACCAGCATCGTAAGGCCGGGATAACTGATAAAATCCGGATCAAGAGGAGCAGGTCTTTTAAACTTTGGAAGAGGACAGATTCGTTAATATTTATTTCTGGCGTTTAGACATTTTGCGGGCAGTTTCGCGAATTTTAGCTACTAGATAGATCTATCGTTGATAAAAACTATGCCATTTGTTTTTATTTCTACTTTATTTTGTAAATAAGCTACTAAAACGAGGGTCTTAACCTGAAATTTTAATTTGTAATGCAGAAAAGAAGTAGGTTTCGTCGATTTTCCGATCCTTTGGCAAGCGTAAAACAAGCCGGTATGCTACCCTACAGGTATTTGTTGAAATCAAATCTACTTCTTTTTCCTGTCTTCAGTAACTAACTTCAGAAGTCTTCTGTCTTTCGAAAAGTTATCCACTGCTGCAACACATTCGCTTCAGATATTACCCCTTGAGTTCGTTGGATTTCATATATGTGCTGACCATAGACTAGTGTGAAATTTGAAGCTTTTTTACAGGTGGTGTGATTTACCAGGATAACACATATGGGCGATTGTAAACCAGCTTATTTAGTTGGCGAACTAAATACGACGCTGAACAATGGTGAATAGAACTGAATACTGAAGAGCCATGTAAAATCAGCTCTCGAGTTCGATCAAATACTCACCAGAACTAACAGTCGGGTAGATTTCGAAAACCGAATGCAAATGAAACCACGTTGTAGAAGCAGCAAGGAGACGATCTCGACCATTATCGTCATAGTATGGAGAGATAATATAGAATGTAATACCAGTAGCAGGGTACTTAGACATTCCTCCCGGAATTTAGACTTGTTTAACAAAGTGATCAGCCCATTCGCAACGGTCACACTTCTTCAACCGCTGTAAGCTAATCCTATGGGACACATTTATTTAGGCTACCAGAAATTTGAATGAAACGAAGTAGTCTTTTCAAAACACTTCAATAAAATCGTGCAGCCAAATCCAAAGCAGTTATGTGCGCTCACAACACATGAGTGTGATGTGCCGAAATAAAATCATATTCGAAGGGCAGTTTTCCTGAAAAAATCAAATTAATTACCTACACACATGTACACGAACGTCTAGTGGGGTTCGCGGATGATTGGGACCCACAATAATGTGCTGCTGCTTTCTTCTTCCACCCAAAATATTCAAGCTTACCTAAGTTTTAGCTGGAACGAAAACCAATCCAATATTTTTATCCATAGAGTTCAGTTAAACCACGGAATGTTTCTCAGTTAATATACATGTACAATAAAAAATGGTGGTTCCCACTCAGTACCCTTCTAAGTGACGGATTTTACTGTATTTTCTAAATTAAAAGCAATTTGAATATGTATATAAGGGAATTAAAAAATTGAATTACTTTCTAAGATTGTATAATCCCAAATGTACTACGAGATTTACTGACCTCTTGTTCATATGATGCATCCACCGCTTCGTCATTTTCGGATAAGTTAAAAACATGCTGGTGACAAAGCTTCAGGCAGCAGAAAACGCAGCAGCAGAAAAAGCAATCCAACAAAAGGAACGTGAACAAAATGGAGCACTATGATAGACCGATCAATGAAAATATGTAAGTAACTTTACTTTCTGCCGTTTAGTTATCCATAGAGGGGTTAGCACTTTATGCATTCCTCAAAACGAATGTGTTTGAGGTACAAGTGACATGCCGGCCACAGTGTGGGAGACTTGAAACATGTAAGAGCTTAAATGTATTTCTTCATTCTAACCCGACAATACTCACAGACCTCCTATTCGTCTTACTGCTTTGGCAGTCAGTACGTGTGCTGACGTTGCCCTACTGGGAGTCCACGGTTCAGCGTAGGAGGGTTACTGACCTTGTTTATCACAAGTATGACATACGGCGTACTTTCAGCACTGATTGGCCATATCAAATACATAGGTAAGATGCCACCGACTGCAGGTGTGTCCCACATTCTGTACGCCATTTCCGGTGTTCTACTAATCCCTTTGTGAGAGATTGCCTGATGAAACCCGGTGTCAAGGTGCTGCCACTGAGAGATAGAAGTAGGCATACACACACCTTGATGCTTACGCCGCTTTTAAAATAGCGACCAACAAGTGAAGTAATGACGATGTTGTTCATCAGTGTTGTCTTAGCAACGCGCGGGAAACACATGCACGTTTATCATTGCACCTCCTAGCAAGTTCAACTCGTAAAAGTTTTCGTTTGAATGGTGCTAGCAACTAAGGCTGACAGCATGTACGTTGTCTGCAATGCTGGAACGATAGTTCCTGGGTGCGAATCAGGCACAAAAGACTGAAAATTTGGTCAGTGGTAACTTATTGATGCAATTCTTAAGGAAAACGAAAGCAAAGTTTATTATATTTTAGGGCACTTCCTACAATAGCGATCACTGTGTGTAAAAATTTAAAATTTAAGCCATTAGGTCAGCTTCAAACAATAAAAGTGGCGAAAAAAGTTTCAGAGTTCACATATCTTATTTGGTCTCCCCATAATCGCTCAGATTAGGGAGGCATATTTGATCCACTTTCGGTTTTCCATAGGAATTTTCATGCAAACTTTATCTAAAGTACACATTGGGTTAATAAAATCGCCATCAGTAACACTGCTTTCATAGCAGACAACTGAATATTCAACTAGAAGTTCCGGCCATTCCTGCGTGCACTGTTTGGCTAATACATCAAAACCTCTGTGTCCCTGCATTTCCACTAAAAACAGTGGATGTTAACTTTTACACCTCGTCGGAAAGTTCGTTGAATAACCAGAGAGAAACCGATGGCGCACCAGAATCCTTTTCTGCTTGCACCAGCGTCATGCGGGAACGCGCTGGCGTAGTGAGGTTCAGATGAAACCCTCGTTCCATTTTGTCGATAGCAGTTATATTGTGCCGCTATATCACGTTGCCAGCCGTGCACTTCCCACTCACTTGTGTGTAGTATAAAGACGAAAATGAGTGGGAAGTATTCAGGCATTTGGTGACGGAAGTGATGAGTCTAAATTTATATCCCCAAAACTGTCAATGATACGCGCCCCGAACGGCGGTTAACTTCAAGCTGTCACTTCCTTATTTAATAGTCTAAAAAGCATTTAAAGCAGATTTCTACACTGTGAACACTAATTGTAAGGTAAATGAAAACCCTTGGACAGCTCACGACCGATTTTGTCCTTTTTGTGGCTCATCGGATGGGCGCAGTCCACGAGATTCTGTCAGCCTTGCGTTCTGACAGAACACCAAGTTGTACGCAACTGGTAAAGTACATCCATTTGTAAACTACGTTTGAGTGACGGGAAATCCAAAGGGATTCCAGCTGGACTTCTCGTTATTGATATTATTTAACTGAAGTTGCAGCAGCACAGAGACCACCTTATGGTCCAGTTGGTAAGTTTGAGATAACCTACCAACTGCGGCATTCACTTGAAGAATATCGTGAAGAGGAAACTCCTCCGAGATTGACTTGGGTCTCACGTTAACAGCGTTTTTTATTTATAAATGAGTGGATTCCGCCAATTAAGTGAACTTGCCTTTTTAATCGTTTTCTCTAAAGAATATGTTTCCTAGTCCGAAGGGCTGCTTACGCGGCGGGTACGTGACTTCCATAAGGTATAGAGGGCAATGGTATTTTGGCAATTTTTCTGGTTCCCAACGCCTAATTTTTATCTACACCTGGTTTTACCGTACACCTCGACCAGTATTTTAACTCCGACATTTTTAGTGCACTCCTTACTTGTTGGTCATTACACGTCTCCTTTTTAATACGGATTCCTACCACGACCTCAGTTCGTATCCTTCCCGCAACATTCGGTGCCTTTGGGTCATACTTTTAGCCGCAGATGGACATGTCGTTAAATCAGGTTGATCTTATCAGGCAGTGCAACTAACATACATATCGGTGTCACACCTAGCGCTAAATTATGAGTGAAATATATTGATTCTTGAATGCAACACGCGTCTTTATAATATGTCACAATTATTCGCTGGCTTAAAAATTCGCTTTTGATCACTTTCCTGACGATGATTTTGTCGTTTTAATTATATGAATAACTAAATTGAACTAATTGCTTGCCTTTCTTATAGTTATACTTACAGTATCCGGTGATTACCATACAGTTGTGCTGGTTCACTTCATTCAAGGGGCTTCAAGTTTAGTAGATGTCGGGCACATGGCAGTATCCTAACACATATCAGAAGGTTATTTAAAAAAAACAGGAGGTAGTTATACTTTCGTCACTTTGTTCAGAACCCTAAATAAGCCATGATTTTCGTTTGTCTTCCTGCTCGATTAACAAGATATCATGACGTCTTTTCAAAATGTTTTCTTGGGGAGAGTATCCTGTATGTTCTAACTCAAACTGACTAGGCTATATGGTCACATAAATGGCGTGATCTATACGCTGCCTTAAAAAACCATTCTGGTGACATTTACATTTGGGAAGAACTTTGTTTCACTAAAGTTCGATGCCACCTGTCTCCTTCATCAGGATGATTCAGCTTCTAGAATATCTCAAATTGCAGCTAATCAGTGGAGAGCATGTCGAAGATACCGATTCAGTGTTAGTTTGAGGGGCCGTGAACACCCTGAGGACCCAGGTATTTATAGTGACGCTTTACGGTTTTAGCTGTGCAACACAATAGTAACACCAGCTAGGACAGTGTTTTGGAGCAAAAATAGGGAACAACGTCGGGAACATCTGTTTTGCGCTACAAACGCTTACTCTTTCAGCATGCGAGATAGTGCGTAGGCAGCAATTCCTAAAAATATAAAAGTTACTTCACCACTTCTGGTCGAAAATCAAGTGTCTCTACGACCTATGTATGTATCCGCACGAACCATCACGCCTTCCCCTGGATCGTTTCTATATTACTTGTGCAAATACCGGACCGCTCAGCTTGACATTATGTCGTGAAAGTGACGCCCTCATGCGACCAACGGTTGTTAAGTTTAACCGTTGTTTCATTGCGTGACACTGAACAAATGAGTTTTTTCAATAGTCTTACACTCTACGCACGGAACTTTATTCGGCACCGCAACTTTGGCTGAGGGGGGATGGGCGACGTCACCGATGCCAGGATTATACTTAGTTTGCGATGATACTCTCATTTCTCCTTGGTACTGCATTCTGACAGTAAATTTCTGAACTCAATTTTTGTGCCATATCGCTCCTTAAAAAGGCACGTAGGGCTTACAAGCAAAATATCGATCAGTGACGGTACGTCGTCTTTTGCCTTGTCTGGATGGCTCTTTTTGATTCGGATAGCTGGACGTGCTGCATTTGACCTGAATGTGAGGATCCGTTGCGTCATCATGCTACCGTGAGCCGGTACAGTACGTTCCAGCGATGTGCATTTTCTTATACACTGAACTTCCAGCCTCAATAGGACCGTAGAAAAAACAGCTGCTCGTGTTTATCTTGAGCTATTCATGGCTGATGAGCACAATATGCACGATACAGAATCGCAGTGTGGCATTGCTTTACCACTGATCGTAACCAAGTAGTGCCCTCTATTACAACCCATCTATTCAAATTTCGCGTTTTCTCGATTCACCTCAAGTATCTGCCACGGAAATATACGCATTTGTCTTTTCAGACCGCACTACCTTTTGACGGAACATTTTTGAGATCGATCATTTTTATGATGAAGTTGCTTGCCAAATCTACCTCTCCGAACGTCTGTGATTGGGTAATTCAGCCATGTCTACAGTATCTAATTAGAATAGCCTTTTATTCACTTGTGACCACCAACGAATATTCTTCCTTCCATCAAGTTGGAACTCTCAGGCGTGAATGCTTGCAATAAAGATTAAAAGGGCCGCCAACCCTGTACTCTGCTTCTCCACCATCAATGACGGGAACAGATGCGATTCACAGGCTGAATATGGAGCATCAAAACGTGTTCAGATACGTCTGACCTGTAACCGTCGGTTTCTTATAGATGCTCACTGTATTTTCCAACCCAAAAGTTCACCAGCGAATGACAACACCAGTTGGAGCAGTATTCAAACAGGGCATGGCGATGAGAAATAACAAAAAATCTGGTGCTAGTTCATAGGATGGGGTGACGAAATTGATGTAAACATTACTTGATTGTGTCTGGGGCCTGTTAGTGTTCTGTGTAAACGTGATTAAATTGTTTATCAGAAGGTGACAAGCACTAACAAATGTCTGCTTTACCAGAATGATGAAGATTACGAAAGTTATGTGCATTTGATGAAAGTAAATACAATGCAAAAAGGGAATAAGCCAAAAAGTGGTTTATCGTTTCAGGACAAATGTTGAGAGTTCTTGAATGAAGTTCCGAACGCGGGACGTATCTTCTCTGTAGTGTAGCTGATACCTGTAATCCGTAGTTGGTCGTGGAGACTTGTGGAGCTTGGTTGACTTCCTGTCCTGTGCGCATGCCTATTTATCGTGTGCAATGTGAAGAGAGGGGTGTGTGATAATTGCACAAACATGAATACAAGTTGACCTGATGTGGTTAAAGTTCGTAAGCATGGATGGGAAATTGTAGTGTATGTGTTGTCAGCTAAGGCTGCGAGTGGGAAAGGAATTGTTACGCGATATGAGTGTTTGTGACTGTTTGTGATCCAGTGAGTGACCGCTACAGGCCAATTATGAAGTCGAAATCGGTATTAAATTTCGTTATTCAAACTGCGACTGAGTATCAAAACCTAAATCAGGTTGAAGAGGATGTGATGAATTGTCTTCGACAAGTTGAGTTCATTCTGAATGTGGCAGTCATGGCCTCATTGCTAATCCTTATGCGGGCATTTATACTGTGTCCGAAGCATTGTGTGTTGTGGCGTTTTCGATTTCAAATACTGAACTAATGGCTCAGGTAAGGACAGTTATCACTGTCCTTACCTGAGCCATAAGTTCAGCATTCTTCACAGAGCCAACAGTTTACGAGTGTTTTCTTTGGATCCACTCGGAAGTTGATTGCCTTTTGGAGATAACTTTGCATACAGTGCCAGGCTCATAGGACATGGAATGTTCATTCATTGCAGAATCAGCCTTGATAGTGATATGATGCTGGCATCAAGTGATAAACTTATAAAAATGTCAGCATCGGATTCCGTCGGGCCTGAATGTCTGAACCCTTGGACGATTGAAGACCAGCTAAAAAGATGAGACACCTAAACTGACCTTAGGTGACC